AACGAATGATAATAATTTAAAAAAAAATAATAGAATTAGGTAAGCAACAGAGCTGTTGTTTTGTCCTGTGGAGATAATAAAAAGGAAACCATTATAAAAACAGAAATGTGCGGAAAAACAGAAATATAAAAAGGTGTGAGGTGAAAGGTGCTTACTAACATACAAGTTGGCACTTCGCACTGTACACTGATTCCAGCAATTCACCAGGCTCCAGTATTTGAAAATTAAGCTGTGATACCTGATTTTGAGCTGTTCTTAGCCAGCATAGTAAATATTTATTTTGAACCTCAGTAGCGTGACAGAAATTCCCCTCTCTTGAGGATTGCACTGTTCCTAGAAGGATCTTGCAGTAACAGTATCTATATGCTTTGTTTGCTAATATATCCTACAGCCATCTGTGTGATGCTGCGCTTTGTATAAGCAGTGAGGTGTGTGCAGCACTCGCTGTGTGGCTCAGGTTTGTGACTGTTCAAACTGATGTTAGAGGGCTTCAGTTAGGCACTGCTGCCTGACTGGAGATCTTTCCTGAAATGAGGCTGAATGAGAGGGCTGTGCACTCTGTGAGGCAGGCGTGGTGGTTCATCTCTGCTGTCAGTGTGGTATTTTGACGTGGTGGTGACATCCCGCAAAGCTGTGCGTACCAGTTCAAGGGCTCATTACAGTGTGTTACTCTGTAAACACGTAACCCTCGAAGTGATACTTTCCAATTCCTGCAGCTTCATTTTTAGATCCAGATCCAAGAGGGAGGGAGTTGCTGAGTTATGAGCAGAGAGCATTTGTGTAACAGGAGGTGGGATGGGTGGGAGGGTTCTTAGCCTGAACTGATTCTGCTGTTTTCTGGGACTTTAACCCTAATATGTTCCAATTCAAATGTGTTTTTAGAGTGAAGCATTAACTCTTGTGTCTTCAAAAAAAACTTTCCACGTTTCCTTAGCCATGTCATTTCCTTCTTTTAAGCAGAAACAACGGCAGATCATAAAACAAACTTTCCACCATGTAAGTAATAGTGCTCCCAGGTTGTAGGTTTCAGCTCTGATGCCAATGCTTCTGTCTGAGACCAGCAGGAGAGACTTTTTAACTGAAATAGAGAGGCTGAGCCTCTCCTCTTTTTCTTCCATTTCTTTTATTGCAGGTGGAACAAAGAATCTCAGAAACCAAACTCTACAGTTTATTCTCAGCTCTGCTATTAATATTCTTCATGACCTTCAGCAAATCTCTGCTCTTCTCCTTGTCATAGCTCTTGAAAAGAGAGGAAACAAAACTGCTCTTCCAGATTGGCCTGGGAGTTAGGAATAATCCCAGGGTTACTAAGCTGATTAATAAACTGAATGTGTCACCTTTTTTATGGGCTGTTCCCCCTGGCTGTAGGCTACTGCAAATCACGTAGGCAAATAAATGTTATTTTAGCTCTGCCTGTATCTATGTAAATAGGAGTTAATGAGTTGCTTTGTCTCATGGCCAGCTCCAAAGGGAGGATGAGGAGAGGCTGCTGTGGAAAGTCCCCAGCTGTTGCTAGGCACTAGAGCGTTGCAGCTTCCTTCTCCAAAACTCTGCTCAGGTTTGGCAAGGGGAGAGAAAACCAAGTGATGGAAAGCCCTACAAAGATGTGTTGCTTCCTTCTCCAAAACTCTGCTCAGGTTTGGCAAGGGGAGAGAAAACCAAGTGATGGAAAGCCCTACAAAGATGTGTTGCTTACGTTCTCTAATGCATGGCTTTACTGTGCTGGGTGCAGGGAGTGTGTGGCTGCAAGTGAGGTGGAAGCAATTTGGTTAGATAGAATAATATTCAGTAACTGGCCTTCTGTTTATTCATTCTCAGCTGCAGGATCATGTGGCTTGCTTGTTCTCTGTCCCTTCTGTTCCTCCTCCTGGTGTTTTTTTGTTTTTTGTTTTTTTTCTTCTGACTGACTCTCTTGGACTCTTGCTGTAAAGCTGGAAGAGCACAGCATCAGTGGTCTTGCCATGCTTCCAGTTTAAGTAGTAACAGGAAAACCCAGCTATTCCAGAGGGTTTCCTCTGCTGAGGTTTGTGCTCCATATTTACAAATTGCAGATGAGGGGGTATCATATTTGGATTTTAGTATCGAGTCTATCAAATAGCACACTGGAGATTACAGCTAACACAAATTGTTTTGTAGAGCATCTTGTTTTTAATACAAAATGCCAACATCCTTGAACTGTAGCAAATAGCGTTAAGATCCTTTTACCATTAAGACTTGGCATGACAGCATCAGTGAAAAGAGCACCTCTGTTTTCTGCCAGAAGCGTAGGACTTCAGATACGAGCACTTGAATTCCTCCTAGTGAAGTCTGGCTGGTTGTCATCCACCCACGGCTTGTTCAGACTTTTCAGTCAGTCTTTGTCATGTCTTCTAAAAGGTGTAATTACTGTCTCTGTTGTTCCTCTCTAGTTGTCCTAATATGAGGCCAGAGTGAATATATTTAAGGTTTTGCTGCCTCTGCTAATGTGTAGATGGGAAATAGTGAGTTTTTTGGCACCCTAATGGAATCATAAGGGAACCAGAGTATGGGACCTCACTAGGCATTGGGTTACACTGGAAAGTATTTTGCTTTTCCCCTTTCAGCACAGGATCCCATGGTGCTTCTGAGGCACTGCAGAATGCACTGTTGCTGCCTTGCTCCGCCATCCCTGGGGATTCACCCAAGTGTACTTGTGAAGCTGAGCTTTACAGCTGTCTGAAGAAGCAGAGAGTCTACACAACCACACAGATTTCCAGGTCTATAAATATCTAAGGTGTGGGGGGCAGAATGGCAAGGCCAGACTGTTTTCAGCAGTGTGTGGAGACAGGACAAGGGGAAACGGCCAGAAACTGCAGCATAGGAAGTTCCACACAAATGTGCGCAAGAACTTCTTTACAGTGAGGTGACGGAGCACTGGAACAGGCTGCCCAGGGAGGTGGTGGAGTCTCCTTCTCTGGAGATGTTCAAGACCTGCCTGGATGCCTACCTGTGTGACCTACTGTAGGGAACCTGCTTTGGCAGGGGGGTTGGACTCAATGATCTCTGGAGGTCCCTTCCAACCCCTACAATTCTGTGATTCTGTGATTTTTCCAACTTGTAGTTAAATGGGTACGGCAGGATACATCCTGCTCAGTGTTCCTCCCTCCAACAGTGGGGATTGGCACCATGAGTTCCAATTCTCACTTTCATTACCTGACTCCACTTTCTCTTGCACGTTTTATCCCACCAATGGGCTCGTGGCTTTTGTTATCTACCTTACCTGGTTTGTGCAGAGACATGTTGAGTCCTTTCTGGTTAGAAACCCTGGGTCTGTGCTGACATGGCAGCCTGGGCTTCCAAGTCAGACTGAACGGCAGAGGCATTGGGTGTGGCCACAAATGAGCCCTCTGATGACTAACAGAAGTAAGATTGGGATTTATCTGCAAAAGCATTAAAAGAAAAATTGCAGAAATCATTGTAGCACTTACCTTCACCTCTGTGGATGTTTGTACTTTCCTCAGACACCAAAGTACACATGCACAGGCTTCAAGATGCATTGCAGAGTCCGTCTGTTTGCCAGACATACAGGTGCACACTGAGTGTGCTGAGGGCTGGATTTTGGATCTGAGTAGCTGGTGTGTGTAGAAATGTGGATTTCCAGCCCCCTTTCCAGCTTAGGGGAGGGTGTGTAGATTAGCTCTGCAAAGATGTTTGTGGAGCATAGAATGGCAGAAACTGTTGGAGGAGCAGGATTCCTACTGCACAAGTACTTTCAATGGAAAAATGTGTTTGTTCTTCTGGGCACTGTTGCCAGTTGTTTGGGTTTTTTGTTGTTTTTTTTTTTTTTTGTTTCTGAATTTGGAGGTGGGGGTGCATATATACGTGTTTTGTTGTGTGGTTTCTTTTTAAGCTTTTTCAAGTTTCTAGTCCTTTACTTTGTTGCTTTTTTTTCTTTTAACTGGAAAAAGAAGGAAGACGTGAACCAAAAGGAGCAAGGAAGCAGTAAGGACTTACTATTTACTGTCAGTGTTAGTAGGATGGAGGGATGTTCTTCCACAAGTTTTCTGTCTTATTAATACAATTAGGGAAACACTTCATTTGCTTTGTTAAAGCGTGTTTGTGGGAGGGAAGTGTTTTTCCACACATCACATAGCTTTCCAACTGGAAAGGTAGAAAACGAGCTAGGAAAATACTTCTTTCAAAAGTTGACAGAGAATCTCTTGCCTGATGTATCCCCATCAATAAGATTTTAACTATGAACAGTGTAGTTGAGTACTTTTAATGGAGAAAGTGGTTTCAAACCTTGTTTTTCCACTTTCAGGGTTTTGTTTTGCTTGTTTGTTTGTTTTTGAGGAGAAAGAATTATTTTGTTCACTTGCCAACTTTGAAAGCGCTGCCTCAGAACTGGCATAAAACTGCATCTCACCTGTTTATTTCTGAAATGACACAGAGTAATTACTGTTTTAGGTATATCCTGTTTGCTAGGTCGTGCGGTTCATGTTATGACAGCTTTAATGGCTCTTCATTGTATAGCAAAGGGATTTAGGACTGTGGGCAGGTACTTCTGCTTCATTTTGTAATTCTAAATAAGTAAACATAATGAAATTTGCTGTTAAATAATGGGAACATCCACATATACGTTAAAAAGACTGTTTTTTTCTTCATAAAAGGAAGACAAATTCACCTGCTTCAGGGTGGAGTACTAACCACTAATTGGCAGAAGTTAGGAAGAGACTTCCTTTTAAGCAGTTGTTTCATTTCTTTCTCTGTGGCATTCCTTCTACTTTCTTTTGAAACCTGGCGTATTGGCCAGTGCTGGAGGACTGTCTAGGCTATCCTAGAATCTCAGGTTAGGCTGATTCCTTGATGGCCACTTCTGATGATTCATGTATTCCTGTCTTTCATATCTCACTTAAACCATCCATCCATCTATCCATCTTGTTTGGAAATCAGCCATTAATAAGGAGAGACTTCCTACAACCTCTCTCTCTCTGTTCCCTCATGCTTCTGCTACTAATCCCTGGATTCTACTTCTCTTTCAGAAGATGCTGCTGAAGAAGAATTGTGGAATGAAGACTAGAGTTATTAAAATTCGTGTAAGTTGCTCTTTTGTGGTGCACTTCATCTCTCCACATATTTCTGAATGTGGTGATAGTCCTTGAAAACCTGTGCCAAGAAGATTATCTCTGGAGGTTTCTTTGGCTTGATCAGTTGAATAACAAAAGTTACAAAGTTGGAGGATAAATGGTAGTTGCAGACTTAAATTGGGTTCTAATGAAGCTAACAATATTTTCCATTTTGGAGACCATGGGTTCCTGCTTCATTGGAGAGGAACTCTACATCTCATGCTATGAATTCATACACTTATGCATAGCTGTCCTGTAGAGTGTCGTTTGGATCCTTCTTGAGCAGAAATGTTGATCCAAGTTGTCCAATGATGCTTGACATGGATGAGAGGTATTGGTAGGTAGTCCAGGCAAGGACTGTAGCTATGTGCTGCACTGATGTCAGCAGAACTGTAAGGGATGTGGGATGGGTGATCTCCAGATGACAGTCTAGATCGCTTGGATGGCTTTACAGATGGAATGACACTGCAGTGTCTGAGCATCTCCTATTTTTGAGTGCACAGAAACGTAGCAGGTCTAGGTTTCTTCCATGTCATGCTGTTTGCACCTCTTAGGCTTTGTCCCTAGTACACCATCCCTTGACTCTTTAGCCAGCCTCTGTGGGTACTTTGGCTTTTTTTCAGTCAGTGCTGTGTGGCACTGCAGGGAGGTGTGTGGCCTTGTACATTGCAGCCAAAGCAAGTGGTTAAGTCTACAGAATCCCACATAATGCTTCTCATGTTTGCAATACGTGAACAAAACCAGCTTGTAGTGAAGAATTTTGCAGTGAAACTACTACATAGTAATTATAACCAGCAAGGATACCTTGCAGGAGGGATGAATAGCAGACTAGGACCCTACAGGGACTGATGCCTTTGTGTACCCAGAATTGCTATGTTTTCATGCAGTTGGGTGCCCTTATCCATCACCATTTTGTAGGTGACTTTTGTTATTGAGAGGAGGAGCAAGTAGGACTGGCTTAAAGCCTTGTATGCAGCTGCATGGTGTTTCTCTCACCTCTCATATGCATTCAGCTAGAGCACTTCAGTCCTGTCTTCCGGCTCCACCATGACCTGATGCTTCTGATGCACTATTAATCCCAATCTGCTTTGTATTCTCTTGTGCAGCTGCCTGAATTGTTTTTACTTGAGCTGTTTCCTCCTGTGCCCTCTGAGCATTCTGATTCTGAGCATCAGGTTGTACCTGACCTATGCTAATGCAGCTGCTGTGTTTTACTCCAATGTATTTACCACCTTCCTTTTAGCCTTGTCCCTCATACTTTCCTTGTTCTTTTTTTTTTTTTTTTTCCTGGGTGTCCCTAGACTACAGTTAACTTTAGTGCTGCTACTGCTAAGAGCCCTACAGCCCCTGGGATTTCAAGGGCACCTCAGAGCTGTTTCCTCCAGCACCATGAGCTCGTTATTGCAGCTTTCTATGTGCCTCTGTAGAATCTGAGAGACAGAATCATCCCTCCGCTCCCTGCTGAGCTCATGTCAGCTCATGCTAAAATAAATAGCAGAAATGGAGAGCACACCTTTCTGACAGATGGCACAGCATCCATGTTCTCTGGCCAGCCTTGCTGAGCTGGTACAGTGTGTCACTACCTGAGTTGTTCGTGCGGTTTCCATGACAATAGCAAATGATACTTCAGTCTCCAATTGATCTGTCGCGGTAGCAGAGGTGTTGGGTAAATGAGCATTTTTGTTCCTGTTTTTCAAGCAATTCCAAGTGCCCACTTCTGTGTACACAGCTTAGGGAGGAGGCAGCAGGCCCCCAGCCAAATATCTTGTTGAGGTGCCTCTGCTCTGGAAGCAGCTGAGAGAGGTCCATACCTCTGAAGGATGTTGTTGTGCTTGCCGCACAAAGGGAAATCTCAATCCAGCCAGTGAGATATGCTTGGCACAAAGTTCCTTCTCAGTGGTGCCCAGGGAAAGGTCAAGAGATAATGGGCCCTAACTAAAACAGAGGGAATTCTGGTTGCCCAGAGAGCTTGTGGAGTCACTTGAAGATACTCAAAACATGCCTGGACACAGCCTTGGGTAGCATGTCGTAACTAACCACTCTCAGAATGTGGGCTTTGAACTAGATGCCTATTCCACAGGCACCTGCCAGCTTCATTCTGTGATTTTTGGCTTTTTCCCTAGCACTCAGTAACTCAAGGCACACCAGAGACTTTAGTGCCCTTGGGAGGGCTCTTCTGAGGCCCTACTAAATACAGCTTTTTGCAAGGGGTGATAGCAGAAGGCCAGGTTATAAGCCTGGTTCTCTATTGCTCTGATTGCTAACAGAGGTTTAGTGTTGTGACTCTGCTATTGTAGTGGGGTTGAAGAAATTGAGGGAGATCTCACAAATGGGTTGTTGAGTTATTACAGGAGGAATCTGACAACTGTCTGCATGTCTGAACAGGAAATGTCATCACGTGAACTTGTGTTGCTGTAACCCTGGGAAGTCCTGGTGTACAGTGCTCCTGTTTCAGCACAGTTGAAGAGTTGCAGTGATCTTAGGCAGGATAGCCACATCCAGACGGAGTAGAAGTGGATGGAGATGCAGTGAATGAACTGATCTGAGGAACAGGCCAGCAGAGAAGCAGTGCTGCCTCATTTTTACTTTTTATTTTTATTTATTTGGTTTTTTTGAAAGGATTTGAATCAGAGATCTGTTTGTTGGGTTTTTTTTTTGTTTTTTTTTGTTTTTTTTTTCTCTATATCCTGCTGCTTTCTGCATATCTTATTGTCACCGTAACCCTCACACTGCAGGGACAAATGACCAACTAGATAGTAGGCATGCTTAGCACTGTGATATCAGTGAAACATTTTCATGCTATTTTTGCTGAAGGCAGTGTCTCATGTGGTTGTAAGATAACGTGCTCTTAAAAATATGTTCTTCCTGGCTGATATTTTTATTATCTTGATGTCTCAGGGCTTTGCTGATACGTCAGGACACAAAGTGATGTACTCGCATGCATCATCCCATCTATGCTGTTCCTCCTTCTTCTTCTGGAAGAGCCTCGCTGAGGAGGGTTAGATAAAGAGACACTGTCTTTGCCATCTGGTACCAGAATATTTTCATTCCTTGGAAATGTTTGTACTCCTTGGGAGCCTTTCTGGAGCCAGTGTCCCCGGTTGGCTTCTGCTTTTCTGCATGCTGTTCGAATGTTAAGATGCCACCTTTTCCTTATTTCTTGTACCTCGGTTTCCAGTGGTGTTAGGCTACAGCCTTTCCACTGTCTAAGCAGCTCTTCTTAAGTGAGGTGATGGAATAGAAGTATGACAAGCCCAAGACAGCAGCAGCAGCTTAGTCACATTTGAAATGTTTTGGATAATAACTGCTGTGAGAGGTCAGGGCCTGTAGTAAGGAGAAAATACTAATTCAATTTCTCTTCTCTCCCTCTGCCCATCCACCCTAAGTAAGGGATAATGGAACAGGAGAATCAGGCCCTATGGTAGGCAAGTGGGGATAAATTGGAGGTGACAGTGAGTGTATGAAGTATGGATTTGTATGGATGCCTGTGTAACATAGAATGCTTCAGTGCAAAGTGAGGGGTAGACATGGGCACACAGAGGTGTTGCACAGTGAAGCAGGCGTCTGTATGCAGATTTGATTGCTCATATCTCAGTGTGTCAGCCAGTGTCTTGTCTGTAAGTGGAAGCAAGGTGTTAGGTATGAGTGAGAGGAGCTCACGTATGTGTGTATTTTAACAAGAAGAGTATGGTTGAGTGTTACGTGGAGGCATGTCCTTGGTTTTGGAAGGAGGATGATTGTATGAGCATGTGTTTGTGGAACTTAATTTCCTCAGCCCTTGACCTTGCTTGATCAGATGCAGCTAGCTCTGCAGAATGCAGAGATGCGTCTTGCAGAATCTATCTATAGTATCACAAGTCTTCTGTTGTCCAGACCCTCTTGGGGCAAGGCTTCCACTTCAGTCATGTACCTTGTTTTTCCGTCATGAACTCCTGCAGACAGTCTCTGAAAGAGACGGATGGAGCTTAGCTCAGGGGCAGCAGCTGGGCTTATCTTAGGTGCGGGAGGTGGGTAGAAGACACAACTGGTGAGCCCCTGGCTATCTTGAGAACTCTTGTTGGGACAGGCAGAGATTAAGGATTTCAAGGCCAATCTGATAATTTGCCTGATCAGATAGGTGTTTTCTGCTATGTACAAAATAAAATAAGAATTTTAAATTGGAACATAAACCGCTTGTACTCTTGCATTGATCTTATCAGTTCTTCAGAACATCCCCTGCTTGAACAGTGGCCAGATCCCAGGAATGACTTCCCTGACTCTTATCTCTCATGTTTGTAGCCTAAAAGACCAATACAGAAACATGTTGAATATCCTCCTAAAACAGAGGACCTTCTCAGCTTAGAGCTGAGCTGTCTTGGCAAAGGCCTGAGATATTCATAAATATGAGGCATGCAAGTTGACAGAGCAAGATTAGGTGCAAGCCTGTTTCTCGCTGCATGGTAAACAGTAAAGATTTCACAAGTCAGAAGATTCTTTGTGTATGTACATACGTACAATATGTTATTCCTTCCACTGTAGATTCCCAAGGCACTTTGTGAGCATTGCTAAATAATAAGCGGAAGAAAAATATCATGATTGCAATTTCAGAGTTAAACTGAGAAACCAGAAAATAGGCTTTGATCTACAGACCACATTCCTTGAGCTGCATTCTTATTCATACCATACCACGCAGTCTAAACAGCTCTGATATCTCAGGCGGCTTGCTGACAGTTTGTCTGTCACTCCTGGTTGTGTTTAGTATGTGTCTGAATGCCTAAACCAAATCTTGCTCTTTAGGAGCAGCAAGAGAGGCTCACCTTGCTCACATCCTTGAATTACTTGCTAGGCAGAGTTCTAGACAGGCATTTTTCTCCAGATAATGGGCAGCTCTCTGCTGAACAAAATGGAGAAGGTCCTCTGTGAAGTGAAGGCATGAATATCTACTGGCCTTCTGGGGAAACCAGCTCCCTCCATGTTTCTCTCAGCCAAGC